GTTATGCTTTTTGACAATTCTTCCATCTGCAATGGATAATGCACGATGTGAAATTGGCAATTGCTGAGTGATGAATTGGTCTCCAGCACTTGCCAAGAGTATCTTGGCACTAAGGACAAGTCAGAACGCTGACAATGTTTATGTTTGAACTCCTCAGGCTTTATAGTTCAGTTACAAAAACAAGTTTTATAAGGAACGACTAATTTTAGCTAGATTGTAGATCGTGTAGCATTCTTCATGTATTAGAAGTTAGAACGAAACCCTTAAAAAACCAAATATCTCTACCAAATGAATTCTTCAATAATCAGAGGACCAAATCGGCATAGATCACAGAATGGGCCGAGATACTCATGAAAATTAAAAAAAAAAGAAATGAATTACATTCACCGCAAACTAATAAGAAGAAAGGGAGAAAGATGGTTCAGTCCAGGGTCAGAATTTATAAGCTCAAAGTACTGTTGGGATAGGTGCCAACTCGGAATTGATATAAATTTACGGGCAGGCCTTGATGCATAATATGTGAGTTGTTGACATTTTACATGTTGTAGTAGAAATCAAATCTAAGAAGTAGCAATATGCCCTTCCTTTCTGGTTTCAAAAAGTAGGAAAAAAAGAAGACGGAGAAGACGTATTCTAATGGTTCTACATTTCCGCTCTGTATTATGCTTTAATCGAGTGTACACTGAAAAGGGTTGTTTTGTCAATTGCAGTGGCTACGGCTTCCTCTGTCCACTGTTTCGCTCAATTCGAACAGTCAGGGGTCTCGACCCGAACGATCAGCCTATTCTGATAAAAAAATTATAAACTAAAAAAAAATTAAAATTTTGAAAAAGGTCAAAACCGTTCAAACAGTTCGAATGGTTAATCAGCCTATTCAATGATTTGTTGATCAAAATCAACGGTTTTGGAAAAAAAAAAACGGTTTTAGGGGAAAACGGGACCGGTTCCCGGTTTTTCCAATCTGACTGTCCAATTCAGTCCGGTTTTGAAAACCATGCCAAAAAGGATAGTCACTTCTCCAACACTGAATTGATGACTGAATTGATGAAGGATCTTTAGAGCCTGAGGGTATTAGAGACCCATTTTGACATGGATCACCATCATCTTGAGGAATAAGATGATGAATAGTATTTTATTTGAAGGATAATTTTGAGAATTTAAAAATTTTAGGTCATATACGTTGTTTAACGATATATATAATTGATAACTGTTTAACAGTGAGTATTAAATTCACACATTTTTAAAGTTTAAATATTGGATTTATACTTTTAAAACTCAGGGACCAAAATGAGAGTAGGCCCAAAATAAAGGGTATTAATCTATAACTTTCCCTTAAAACCTAGGTGGAGTTGGGCAGTACTGAACCGAAATTTTTGCTTTCCAGCGCTTCAAGGTCATACGGTAGCACCACCAAATTGATCATCCGAACACTGAAAACTGCTTCAAATTCTTCAGATGTAGAGCTACCTCCGAGCGCATTCGGAAGTAGTGGAAAAAAAATGATTTTCCATTCATGCCCTTTCCATCTAATCTTTCTCTTTCTCTCTCTTCTTCTTCTTCTCTTAAACCAGCGACTGACAACCAAAATCACAAATTTAAACCGAAGAAGATGGGGCTTCGATTAGAGATGACTGGCGACCAGCAACTAGCAACCAAAATCACAGATTAAACCGAAGATAATGAGCTTCCATCATAGACGACTGGCACCGGCGATGTCAACCAAAATCACAAATTAGACTGAAACTTAAGGTAAAACTGTGGTTGCATTCCTAATTTCAAGAAATGGAACCTACTATTGAATGGGTTCTAATAAGAAAAATTAGCAGAACTAGTTAATTTTAAGTTTTAGCCAACATAATCGATTCTAGAAGTTATTTTGGACAATGTTTTCAAAATCAGATGATTGAATCAGAAAAATTGGGAATCAATCCATTTACCCCAAAATCGTTTTTTGACCGAAAACATTGATTTGGTTAGTGAACTGCTAACCCGAATGATCAAACCATTTGAACCAAGAATGGTTTCTGGCCATTTTTTGTGTTTTTTAATTTTTTAATTTTTGTCAGAGCAGGTCGTTCATTCAGACTGTTTGATCCGAGAACCGGACCCCATAACGATTTCCGACATACAGATGAATCCTTATCTCAGGCATTTGATTAGAACCATCACATGGGCTATAATTTGGACAGTACAAAACGTTTTCGAAATTCCGAGGAAATTTGTCCTTTTCTTTCATTTCCTTTTTTTTTCGATTGAATAGAATACTTTCCTTCAATGATTTTTGTTTTTTTTTTTATAATTCATTCAATCATCTTTGTTGAGTTACGTCAGTATATCAGTTTATCACAGGTTAATAGAGCCATGATGAGAATCGTACTCGGGTTGTTGAAATGGTGGAGGTAATATGGACTGTTGATGTCATCGGTCGAAGAAGCTTCAGCAGTTCAGTGTTGCTGAGAAAAATCTGACGCCATGATCGAACCTAGAGCAGAAACCGCTTTGATACCATAAAAACTTGAATAGATTATATCTCATTCAATGATCTTTGTTGAGTTACATCAAAATATCAAAATATACATCATAAGAGATCGGCTTCAGTGCTTACAACGTTTGAATAGTCCCTTACAAGCTTGCATTGGGAATATTTTTGTATTTATATATTTTTTAATGGAGAGATATTCCTAATGCAAAACTGCAAGGGACTGCAAACGGTGTGAACATGGTCCTGTGAATACCGAAGCCGATCTCACATCATGAAGTTAGAGAGATGTAAATAGACCTAGCAAAAAGTTGACCCAACCTGTGAACCCGACCCAACCTGACCCGAAAACAGGGTTAGGGTCTCATATTTAACTACCCGAATGTGAAAATGACCTGACCCGACCCGAAAAAAAACTGGGTTGGGTTGGGTTGGGTCATGGGTCAACCCGCTGACCCAATTGTTAAGTCTAATTAGGATTATTTATGTATTGTTAGAAGTTTGCACTCTTACATTTTTTTCTATTTAGTCTTTACTTTTTATTATTTATTCTTTAAATTGTTAAATGTTCAAGTTTTTATTTTATATTTGAAATTTTAAGGTTAATTCTTTTAATTTTGACATTTTTCATGTAATTTTTCTTTTTTTTTTTAATTTCAATTATTTTTTGGGATGACCCGAATTGACCCATGGGTCAACCCTAACCCGAACATTTAGGGTTAGGGTCTAGCATTTGACAACTCAACCCAAATCCAATCCGACCTGAAATCAACCCGAAGTACCTTGGCCCAACCAGAACCTGACCCACCCAACCCAATTGCCAGGTCTAGATGTAAACTTCAAATAGAGATATAGATATACATGGAAGAGAAAGATAAGAGGGTACTCAGTCCTGTACAAACAAGTTACTGGGTCGGTTAACATTTTGCCTGGAATATGCATGGGCTTGGCCCTGGCGTTTACGTGGTTATACATGCTAATACAAAGAAATAGAAGCAAAAAATAAAAATAAAAATAAAAAAGATCAATGATTGCTATGCCAAATACCCCAGTTGGCTAGCTAGATGAATTTGAGATCAACTCAAGGTTCTAAATATCGATACGCCCGATACCTCGGTAGGGGCATATCGGGCAGTATCAGTACTGTTTTTTATTTTTTATTTTTTTGAACTTTTGTTTTCAAATCCAGTTCAGGGGGGCCAATTTAAGGTTCCTCCACCCCCTGAACCAATCAAAACCCCGATACACCCTCTTTAGGGGCGTATCGGGGTATTTCCGATACAATACGTATCGGCCGATATGAACTGATATATAACAATTTTTTGAACATTGAATCAACTTTTAAGGGCTGCATGGTTAGACTGCCCGAAATGTAGAAAGTTCAACTCCGTCTGGCCCATGTTAGGGTTCGTATCCATTCTTAAATTGAGCAATTCAACTCAACCCAAATTGCACTACTAAGCTTTAGTTCACAAGCTTCAACTGCATGACTTTTAAATTCCCTTTGAAAATGGTTAATAAAATTTTATGGTAACTGCCCCTCCACTGGAGTAAAATCTGGGTTAAAAAACCTCAACTGAGATGCTTCTGCTCAGCTTAGAACAGCTCTGTAACAAACTGAGAAATGACAGTGATTTGTATAATTATTTAAGTGGTATTTCTGTTTTAACTGCCCAGCGAGGATTAAAAATTTAGGTGCTTGGTATCAAGGCTCTACATATCGATACGCCGGTAAGGGCATATCGAGCAGCATCGATACTGTTTTTTTTATATTGTTTTTACCTTTTTTTTCAAATCCAATTCAGGGGTCAGTTTAAGGTTTTTTCACCCCTTGAACCGGTCAAAACTCCAATACACCCTTTATAAGAACATATCGAAATACTCCTAATACAATACGTATCAGCCAATACGGATCAATACATAACGATTTTTTAAACCTTATTTGGTATAGTGACATTACATTTTTGAGTTGACCATTACAAATTTGTGTGCAGGAGAATTTTTTATCTGAAACGTTTTGAAAATGTTGAGTTGATCGAAATGACATGCCAGCTACATGGCACAGGCTAAATAGCTCTCCATCCTCCAAATGAACCAAACTCCATCCCCATCTCTTCATCTCCCATAATGTGGGGTGCCAATGTAAACTTAGTGTCAAGGTGGTTACTCTGAATTTGCATAAACGCCCCACAGAACCTCCTGCCAAATATTGCAACATCTTCCTATGACACAAGTATGGGAGATGTTCCCAATGCACGCTGAGATGTCATGGGCGCTTATGGGTATCAATGTCAACTCGATTAAAGATCACATGTGCACCCGTAGAGCACGCCCCACAGCACATCCCAACTCTATTGGGAACACCCGAACATCTCCCAATGCATGCTGAGATGTGCATCTGGGGCACGCTCTGTGGGGCACAGATGTGAGCGCGCCCCAATGGACATCACCCTTCCCCAGAGTCCCAGACTGCGAAAATGCTTCCACAATAACTCCCAAAAAGGATGGTGAGCAACTTAAGTATCCTGTTAACTTTATATATTATGGGATAATAAACCAGAGTCTATATTTAGTTTGTTATAAAACCTATCCAATTGGAATGTTAATTACATTTGCAATGCGGCAGACGAGGACCACCAGGAGAGGAGGGTTTGCCACCGATCTTGACCCAAAACCGAAAAAACTCGCTGGGTTCCAGCGTCGCCAATATGACTAACTTGTACAACATCCCAATGAAAAAAAAAAGTTAAGAATAAATATCAAAACCTCTTCCATTTCATGGACCACCAAGCTTTGGCAATAAAGGATGGACTTGGGGTCTCTTTGTCCACACTAAGTTGAAGGGGGTACCTCATGTTGCTCTTGTGCAACAGGGACACGGGGTCTCCATATCGTTTCTTTGCCAACATCCATAAGAGCAATGCCCTTGACAGCCAAGTCCTCCCTGATCTGGTCACTCTTGCTGAAATCTTTGTTTTTCCTTGCTTGAGTTCTTTCCTCTATCAGACGCAATACGTCTTCCTCTGTCAATCCTGCTCTCTTCAAAGCCTTATCCTTCAATTGTTGTAAAACCTGCCAGTTTAGAAGGCATTTGATGTAAGAAAACCCAAGCAAGATGAGGTTCTGACCATACACACAACATGCATATAATCTTGGTACCTCAGAGTATGTCGAAGATGGCTGCAATCCCAGAATGGTCAGAACCTTTTTTACTTCTTCCACCAATGAAATAAGGGACTGAACTGCTGATGCTTGTTGCTTTTTCTGGCAAAACATACCAAGTTGTAAAAGAGACAAGTTGACGTGCATGTAAAGACACATTCATTGCATCACAAATATATGAAGCAATTTAGGCAATACAAGTGTAGCAAAAGAAACCTCTTTCTTGGTGCATTCCATTAACCGCAAATGGGCAGTTTTAAGTAATTGGTGAATTGATCTAAAAACTTGGACATGCGTCAACAGCAACCATAGGAGGAAACAAGCAAATGGATAAATAAAACTCTAAATGGAAACCATCCCCATCAATTTCAATATCAAATACACTCATCTGACATAAAACATAATCTTAATCTGGGGTTTTGAAGCTCATCCACCATGGATAATATTCCTAGGGATCCATATCTGGCAACTGAACTGGGAAATCAAGTGAAGAAAAAGATAGATGGCAAGTTTATTAGTATAAAAGAAATGTCTGAATTTGTCAGAAATGCACATACCTTTAGTGTGTTCATAGAATTGTTTATGAACCTTAAGGCTTCTTGAAGAGCACCATTCAATATCTCTGGAGTGTGCAGGTCATCAGACATTTTAGTCTGAAAATCACTACGCAACTTGTTAATGCAATCTTGTGTAGCAGATGCAATTCGATCTGGCTTGGCATTCGGTTTTCTTTCATCTTTAAGGCTTCCTTCACGAAATGGAGACAAAGCCTCCTCACAATCATGTAAAGTCTAACAACAGGAAAGCATTCTTTCTCAGTCGGATATATTTGTTATAGGTATGAGTCAACATGTGAAGTGTATGTGGGTGGATAAATCTACACTCGAGGTTAGATAGATAGCATCATGGTAAACTGTTATAAGAGCATGTGGCACATAAGTAGAGGTCAAACATAAGATAACACAAGTAGAGGTCAAACATAGAAAAAAGGAAATTTTCTAGGCCAATGTCCAACTTAATAAGATAACATGAACATCCAATCAGAAGATTTTTTTGACAAATATCCAATCAGCACATTTTCCTTTCCAAACTTGAAATCATCTTTTCTTTCTTTGACCATTTACCCAATGTTGGTCCCAGCTAACTGGGGGTCTTGGAAGGGGTGGACTATTAGACTGGATTTGGAATTTCCTTTTCTTTGACCAACAGAATGGAGATAGTTTATAAGAGATCTCTTAGGTGGAACCAACAAAGACTAGACAACATACACTTTAAAATGTGCAGATGTCACCAATACAGACCATCCACCAGATAGGGGAGGCTCTGAATAGGGAATTTATATTTTCCCAGTCCATTTTGGCCCTAAAACCCTCTACATTGAGCTTTTACTAGGTTATGTTAGCAAATGAAAGCTTTTTACTAACTGATTCCGACGAAAAAGGGCTTGGTTTGGCCACATTGCAGGAGCCCAGGCAAACATGCCTTGTTAAACACTTCACACCTGCATATGTTGGCACTTGCAACATTTATGGATCATCTAAATCCCCTCTCTAAACAATATATGTACGCATGAAACATCCTAATTCCTAAGGATAATATCCAAAAAAGTCCTTAGAAACTTAGAGATGTTATTTACCTGGTAAATGTAGAAAATGGCATCAGATGCTATCTCAAGCTGCAAGATTGAGTAATTGACAGGAGAACGATAGTGTGTGCTCATCAAGAAAATCCGCAAAGCAAGTGGATGGTATTGTTTAGTAATCTACAAGGAAATTAATTGTTACATCATATGCCCTAGAAGAATATTGCAACACCTGAGACTTAAACAAATAAAAAAGAATATCAAATGATGAAAATATACACTACTATTGATCAAAAAAGAAAATATACACTACTTACCTCACGAATGGTAAAAAAATTACCCAATGACTTGGACATTTTCTCATTATTTTCCGTAACAAAACCATTATGCATCCAATGGCTCACATTGCTCTCTGAGCAGGCAGCACAGCTCTGAGCAATCTCATTTTCATGATGTGGAAAAACCAAGTCCATCCCCCCACCATGAATATCAAAGGAGAAAGTCAGATAATGGGCACTCATGGCACTGCATTCAATATGCCAACCTGGTCTTCCAGGTCCCCAAGGGCTTTCCCAACTTGGCTCATCAGGTTTTGCAGCCTGTAACAGTGAAAAATCTATTTGCAAATTAAACAAAAGGACATAGTATATAACATTTAAGGCATTTTAAGATTGCTATATCACCTTCCACAATGCAAAGTCAGCAGGGTTTCGCTTTCTTGAATCAACAGCAACCCTCTCACCAGCTCGATTATCTTCCAGCTTCCGTCCAGATAACCGACCATAATTAGGAAATTTATCAACTGAGAAATACACATCTCCCTCCAAGGTGTAAGCACAGCCATTATCAATAATCTGGCATAAATGCAACTGTTAGAAACAAGGCTTCACAATAAAAGACACAATGGAAGCTTTCAAATTTCTTGGGAAGGACCAGAACTGAGAGGGCTAGCTCAGTATGGTGTATAAAGAATAGGACCAACCCAGGCTCAAACCAGAGCGAGAACCAGGACCTACAGTAATGGCCCAGACTGGTCCACTTAACCTGTGAACCTTAAGCATATTCTACCATATATCTACATGTGTACCCATCATTGGTTTATGTATTTTAAATTTACATATATCAGTATTTATATTTACATAAAATTGTTACCAAATAAAACCAATAAGATAGAAATCCCATTAAATAAAATAGAATACAAGATCCCATTCCACTGCCACCAAAATTATACAAATACTTAAAATTAAAATATACAATATAGTTACACATATAGCACTGGGTCTGACCAAGGTTTTGAGGTATCCACCACACTACAAGCTTCGACCATCCCTGACCATTCTAAAAGCAGACAAAGACACCTCTCTGAGGGGTGAACTTACCTAGTCTTGGTAGACAATTGACTTTCCAAGAACCTAGTCCCTTTACAGACCTTTCCACTATTGGATCTCAAATCAGCTTTCAAACTAAGATATCTGGATTATCTGTACAGCAGTGATGGATCATATCAGATGCTTCAATTTTAGTGTGAATACCATATCTGACAGTGTGATATCCTTTCGATATCTGGGTAACAGTGCTCCCTGTCTAAACCACTGAAATAACAGTTAGTGGAATTATACCCCAAGTTCGTTACCCTTTTGCTTATCTTTTCAATATGTGATCGCTCAAGCACTCTATGGACAAACTGAGGGAAAGACCACCATATTCCAAAAATCTCAAAGATATGTGACCAGATAACAATCTATTTACAATGGAAAGACAAAAAAAGCTACTGAATTTAGCTGCTTCTTGATAAAGCATACAATTAAGGGACTTCATATCCGTTCCACTGGCCAACAGCTTTGCTTTGGTCAAAAACTTGTCTAAGGCAGTAACCCACAGCATAAATGTAATTTCAGAAGGGGCCTTACTGTACCATATTTGAACATTAGAGACTTCTGTTACTTCCAGGATGTGTAGCCGTCTAAAAAAGGATCTAACTCTGAAATTTTCAGATGGGTCCCAGAGCAAAATCACCATAATCAGATCTTGGCAGGTGGCCTTCAACATAAATGCTCCCATACATAACTTCCCAGTCATTTAGGTTTCTTCTTAGCACCAATACCCAATTTACTCGATAAGGGCTCTGCACAGTAGTCACTTGCTAGAGTTCAATTGCTTTGGGATAAAACAAAGCAGGTCTTACATTGGATGGGATCACTAGTGTTCATCTTCACAAGACCCACAGTGTTGGATTGACTCTCCTAAATAGACAAATGTCCTGCCCATGTCAGAGTGTCAGACATGTGTTGAACCCCAACACTCCACGGATTCTTGAAGGACACTTTACAGGCAATACACAAGACATATTTTTCTCCTTTCTTATTCAATATTAATGAACAGCTAATGTGCACAATGAATGTCTTTTTTTCCAATAAAATGGTATTAAAGAATAAAGATGATCTTTTAGACCTTTTTCTATAGGATTAAGAAGTTAAGGTTCAACAACATATGGACTATTTTAATAGTTTACACTTTCCTTTAGACTTGTCTGCAAATCCACATTTCTTAGTATCAGTGCGTCAGACTTCCCGACATGTGTCAGAATCTGGTTCCCATGTCCATGTAACACCAATGACCCATTTTTTGTGGAAAAGATATACTTTAGGCAGAACAAGGTTTTTTTCCAAGCAACTTGTAGGAGTTCGGATGGAAACTAAAAATTTTATCAGGTGAGTTGAAAAAGTAGACACACATACCCTATGAATCCAATCTGTAGTCTTTCTTACCCAAGATGGGTCCGAAAAACATCCCGAAGATCATTAAGAATTATCAGATTTTTTTATCAATAATGATCAGATGTTATACACCATTTCCCCATTCAGATAAGGTACATAAAATGAACTTTCCTTTTTTGGTAGATATAAGTTAAATTTGAAAAATTACATGTACATAAAGCCATGCTTAACTGATGTAGGACAGACAGGGGATCCTACAACTTCCATATTTGCAGTGGGTTTTACAGGGTGAAGAAAAGTGATTTAAGCAAATTATGGACGAAAATATAACTAGAGAAGCACACAGACAGTTTGCTGATCACTAATGAAAGAGAAAGAGACTAGAAAGAAAGAGAAACTCCTGTTGTTAGAATATACAACAAGGAGTAAGATCACTTAGAAGGAATAAGTAAGAACTAAGAAGAAAGGGAGAAAAAAGAGGAAAAAACATGGTTACAACCAGAATTCACTAACCAAGCTTTTATTCATCAAATCTACTTTCCTTTTTTCAACTACTCTTTTTCTTTTTTTACTTTTTTTTCGAAAGGTCATTGTATTCCCTTAAGGGACAAACCCCAAAAAATATGTTGTACACAACTCCTCAATGTGAGGAGCACCCATGACCAGCATCACAGATATGTACAGATTACATGATTACAAAGGTGTAAACACTTCTTCATCTGAGTTAATGATATGATTCCAGCAGCTTGAAAAGTGTTGGATTTTAAGAACAGCCAGGTCTCTCTGGAGGCTTGACCATCTGATTATGGTTCCTCTCTGTCCAGATAGACCAACACAGGGCGAAGGGAACCAAATACCAAGGTAATTTCCTCTCTTTCTGAAGCTCTTTCTGGGCCAAGCACAGAATAGGCTATTAAGGACTCCAGGAACCATGTTCCATGTACCTTCACTGTTCACTGCCACAAAACTGACAAACCACTTTTATAGGTAGTCAACAGGTGATTGATAGTTAGGATCTATCTTTGGTTGCCATCCAAAAAAGAGGATCACCTTGGAGGGGAGGCTCCAATCTTCCAAATCCACTTCCAACTGACATCTAGTGCTGCAGAAGACACCAGAACCTTATAGAGAGATTTCACTCAGAATATATCAACACAGCTCCCACTCCACCACCTCTTATCCCCCGTGTCTGGCCTAGGGGGCCACTGGTTAATCTGGTCCAACAAAGAGATCAGCTCTTCAGTCTCTCAATCAAATAAGTTTGTTCTCAATCCGGGTCACCCAAGTCACCTGGCCTCTTAGGACTTCATAACAGTCCTTAACTGTTTTTTGATCAGCAATCAAAGGCATTTTCATTTCATCAAGAGAAAAATGATTACAAATTCATAAAGATTCCTAACAGTCCTTAACTGTTGCTTGCTGGTTTTCTGCTATCTCATATATGATAGGATGGGAGATACACAGTGGTGAAGAAACACATCAGATATCTTCCCAAACCAAACACTCTCTCCATTACCCACCCTAAATTAGATAACTGGTTGATGATATCTCTTTGCTTCATAATACCTCTCCACAAACTTGATCCACATGGGCCAATAGTATGGTTAGCCTCCCATCCCAATCCACTACTATCCCCATATTTACATTAATCATTTTTCTCTTCCATGTATCTCAAGATCCACTTACCAAGCAGATCTTTATTCAGTGTATCCAAGGGTCAAAGGGTCAAAGAAGAATGCCCCCTTTGCATATCAGTAAGCAAACTTGAGACAAGACCACCAAATGAAACTTCCTCTCTTACTGCACAACCTCCCACAAGAAATCCTTCCTTAATCTTTCCAATTTTTGGATCACAGAAGCTAGAGCTGAGAATAGTACAAAGTAACAGACTGGCAGGCTTGACAAGGCACTGTGTAAAAGTGCAACCTTTCCTCCTCCGAATAAATATCCTCTCTCCAATCCTGCAAGTTTCCTTTTAAAGCATATTTCCCTCAACCTGTTGCCAGATCCAAATGGCAACCCCAAGAATCTAGCTGGTAGAGAGCCATACCTACAAGCCAAGACAGCCACCAGTTTACCTCTGTTGGGCACCTCCCAAACAGATAAGTTCACTCTTTTGGATGTTTATCTTTAGCTCTAATACTGCTTCAAAACAGATCAATAGGCACCTCAAGAATAGTAGGTTCGCTTGCCTAGCTCTCAAAAAGACAACAGAGGGGCTCGAATAAGAACAATAACTCCTAAATGGCTCTGATAACTCATTATTATTTCTGTTAAACGGGAATTACTTTAAATATTAACACCGTAAGTTACCATGCAATCTTGATTTTTACTAAGAATAGTACTTTTTTGATGGATAACTAAGAACCATACATTTCTAGAAGACTTAAAAACCTTTTCCTAAAAACCAACAAACTAAAAATGAATTTAAAAAAAAAAAAAAACTCAGAAATACTAATATTCCTATCACCTAAAAATTCTAAAATTGGTTTAGGAATGGGAAGAAAGCTGCTTTAGTTCTCCATGGATTATTTGCTCACTTCCATTTCTGCATCATCATCAATCCAACAACAAACTCCTAAATTAGTTACTAAAGAAACTACCCACCATCAACATTAAATCAAAATTTTGTCATCTACTATCACCTTGCTAAAAGCATCAGCAAGTCAGTCCCATGGTCTAGAGAAGAATGTATAAATTTCTTAACCTGCCATGCTCTCACTAAGGGCCAGGCAACTTCAATGACAATGCGTTTCACTCTATCATGAATGTCCAAGCCAAAATACGAAATAATTTTTTTTTGATAAATAAGAGTAGTTTTATTAATTCAAAAAATAGTAGTACATTCAGCCTAGGAAGAGGCACGAGGTGTTACCTCCCCCTAGGACTGAGTCATAAACACTAAACAAACACAAGCCTGAGACACAGTTACAAAGTGGCCCAAAACAGATCTCCCCTTGACACCCCTTGCTTGGCCAAAGAATCAGCAGCCATTGCATTTGCTGATCTGCTGACCCACTGAAACCTGACTGACATATTCCTTGTCAGCCATTTAACTTTCTTTAACAGATCCTTGTAGCCCCAACAAGCTGTCTCTGGACTTGTCAACCAGCCCACTACTACCTTGGAATCCCCTT